ATGCCAGAGGGAGTGGTTTGAGAAGTAACAAAAGCGAGCCATTAAGTGTGGAGATTCCTTATTGGTTGACTGATGTATCTAGTTTATGCTAATTAGATAAGCTGTGCAAAATGTATAAATAGCTCTGTTGTCCTACAATAAATGGCTCCCTCTCCTGCTGTATCAATGTATACAAGTTATTCGTCACCCCCAGGCAAGTTTGCTGCAGCCAGACTGCAGCATGGCTGCAGGAGTTCTCCACACTGGAGGTGACACTGTATGGTGTCTCAGTTGCACATATATTTTTTAAAAAAGAGCACCTGTGAAGTAATTGTGTAATTAGTATAAAGACAGCATAAACACACATGTCTTTTTTTAGCTGATTTAGAAATTGATCATCAAAACAATGTGTATTTTTATATGTGGACCTACAGCATACGTAAACGTAATATATGTGCTAATCGTGACACAAAGGAGTAGGCAAGAAGAAAGCTGTGGTGGGCAAAAGAAAGGACTCCTGGTGGTAACTGAAACCCACAGGAACAAATCACGAAAACTAGGATGGATAAGCAAGAAGGTTAATACAAATAAGTTAATATACACCTCTTCCCTTTCTTCTCTAAGCTTCTTTAAAATACATTAAGCTGCTAGGGGCAGTAGCCCATGCCTGTAATCCCAGTGGCTCAGGAGGCTGAAGCAGGAGGATTGCAAGTTAACAAGGCCCTACGTAACTCAGAGAGACCCTGTCTCAAAATAAAAGAATAAAAAGGGTGGAGGATGTGGCTCAGTAGTTTAAGGATCCCTGGCACCAAAAAAAGAAAGATAAAATATATAAAATGCATTAAGCTCTATGAAGTATTAATTAGAATAATGTTTGCAGGTTTTTAAATATTTATAAATGTAACATCATCTAACAATGATATGACAGAGGGGGAGGAATGGAGCTATGTAGGAGTGAGATTTTTATATCTCATTGGATTAAGGTAGTACAAATTTCTGACTGTTTTCATAAATATATGACAAATCCCAGAGCAACTTGTAAAGAAAACTCAAAATAAATGGTGGGAGAATGATTACAGAAATTAAATGCTGCATTGTAAATTGTTTGCTTAATTCAAAAAAGGAATACATCATGAATGGAAGAACCAAGAAGACATGAGACAACAGAAGCTAAAATGTGTACATCCAAATACATCAACAATCCTGTCAGATGTGAAGCCATGAAGAATCCAGTCAAAAGGCAGAGGTTGTCAGGGGAGGGGATGAAGTCAATATTCAACTGGATGCTCCCAAAAGAAGATGCTTCCGATATCAAGATACAAGACAAC